AAACACATCATCCTTGTTCAACTCACTGCAAATTATAATGGGAACCAATTAGGTCATTTCTTCCCTCTATTTTTAATATTTTGGGGCTGGGAGATACAACTCAATGAATGGGAAAGCACTTGCCTGAAATGCGACAATTCCCAGCAACACTACACCTACATACCCCCCCATACCCCCCTCCACACACTCACACCCCAATCCAAATTGTGATCTTCCTCATGACTCCTAGGATCATTTTAACCTTTACAATATTTTCATGGAAGCCATTTCAACCAAGACTATGGATGAGCATGGCCACCAGTGGTAGAGACAGTATGTACGATCAATAGAACACTTACTATGTATCCAGCAGAGTGATCAGCACTATATACCCGGACTCCTTTCTCACAGCTCCCACTTCATCCTAACTGGTGACAAACTTCCCCCAGTTCCCGAAGGCTATTCATGACAGGGCCTGTACATTTGCTTTGAACCCAGAGACTTTATTCTAAAGTTCACTTTGATAATCACCCTGCTATTCTCCACACATTCAAAACGATTTTTGTGTGCATCAGCCCATCACTGTGTTAGTGCTGAAGTCCTTGGTGGAGGTTGGAATTCATAGCTTCCAGGAAGTAATGACACTCCCAGTTCAATGCTAGAAACCAGGACTGACTTCTTGGTTAATTAAGTCCATGAGTTCTTCTGGTGTTGTGCGAGAAGAGACCCCGTCGAGGGAAGAATAATTCAGCAGGTGACTCATGAGCTTGGCATCACACAATATGATTATTTTGAAAGATATATAGATAAGCTCATTATATAACTAGCTAACAAGGACACACATGAGTCACCAGCAAGGAAATGATGATGCCAGGGAGGTCCAGTGGCATACTCACTTTGGGGACTGAGCTGCGTCCAGTATATGGGGCTCCTGCCTCTTGGACCCCATCTCCCTGCAGTGGTCTGATGAAGAGTGAGACACAGAGAGGGAAAGAGGTCAGGAGAGAGAGGATTCATGTCATTAATGAGAGATTCGGGGAGAGAGTTGAAGGATAAACATAAAGAGAATCTGCACATTTCATGTAGAAGGAAAACAACCCAGAAATAAAAATAAGAACATCAGAAGCTGGTGAATGAATACATTGTGTGACCTGGATTTCATCCAGGCAGTTCTCCTTGGCAAGTGTTTCTCTAGGGCTGGCGGGTTACGGAAAGAAGATGCTGGTTTGATCTTTCATGTTGTTGGTGTTCTTGCAATGAAATCTGGACTTCCTTTGTTAGTTCAAGCTAGACCCGAGAGGAAGATGTGGGAAGTCTTGCTAGGGAACAATAAATACTGAAGTGGAGAAGATAATAAACACAGTCTTAAGGTTGAAGGAAAACTAATAGTTTTATGGCTTTGGCTGTAATAGGCAAATTTCTAGAGACCCTCCCCCTAAGATTTCCTAGTGTAGGTCCTGGTGTCATGCCCTGATTGTGCCAGATGATGTGACAAACAGGTGCTCAAGTTGTGATTAAAATTGCTAATCAGTAAATTTTGAGTGAAACACAGTGTGAGTGAGGTATCCACTTGGGCCTAAACTCATAGAAGGCTCCCTTTAAAGGTCCAGAGTTTCATTCAGTTGTACTGTGAATTGTCCATCATTAGAGGGTGCCCCAAGGGCCCATGTCTTCCAGGCCTATTCCCCAGCCTCTCAGATGCTAGGAGGTGGCAGAACCCTTAACAGAAGGGGTGTGTGAAAGGAAGTTAAGTCTCCTCGTGGGGATGTGCCCCTGAAAGGCATTCTGGGACCTGATCTTTTCTCTTCCCTTCTTATCCGCCTTAGGGTCTGTCCACTCTCTGTCCCCACACCATGACATTTTGCCTACCATGGGTACAAACGACACAGACCCAACTGATCATGGACTAAAATCAACCAGCTTCTCTTCTTTATGTGCTGCTTTTCTTCGGCACTCTCGTCAGAGCAACTGAAAGCCAGTATCAAGGGGCAGCAGGGAGACTGCGGGAGTGATGGACTTTCAGTGGCTCTCACAAAGAGAACACTAGTCGGCGAGGAAGACTTTGACTCACACCATTAAAGAAAGGGGACCCTAGTCCAACCACCACAACAAATTGAATCACTGCAACCGCAGATTGGACCAGCTGCAGTTTCCCAGGCATGCCACGAGGGGGCGGCACCACTCAAGAGCAGTAGGTTTTAATCTTGACTCTCGGGTGGCTTTCTAGAGAAACGGGAGAAGGAAAGGTGGGAGGAGCAAAGAAGCACCTCTTATACACGTGACCACTTCCTATTCAGAATCAGGGGAATTCCCAAGAGAATCTGCAGGGAAATAATGCGGAATGTCTGTTCTTAAAATGTGGACATCGAACTTAAAATTATGTTTACTTTATGCCAATGCGAAAGCAACAGGAAGTCCAGTGAACCATGCTTTCAATTGGAATGTCTATCTGCCCTGGACTGGCAATATTACCAGTCTTCTCTGGGACTGCTGAGCTGTGACACTGGATGGCAGGTCCACCCTCTCGACACTACCCAGTCAATTGTGTGGCTGGGCTAGGATGCTCCTAATTGAGGTGTATTCCATGCACTTTCAACTTCCCGTGGGCTTACTGGGACATAACCCCATCTGAAACCCATGCCATTCTACAAAATAATCCAATTGTGCATCATGATAAAAAAATTAAATGAGAAAACCAGAACGGAGGTAAGAACATGGAACCAGGAACATTAATGACAAATGGTGTGCCATTAAGACCCTTTACCCATGCTAAGAATGGTTTTCTGCACTTTCAGCACTTGATGAAACAAAAATCCAAAATCAGTTATATACTTTACATAGAAAAGTCACCCAAGAAAAGCTGGGGCCTACGAGTAGACCCCTATGGGGGTGGCTTACAGCTGGACAAGGTGTTGAAACTGTAAATAAAGTTTTTACTGTACTTTGATATCCAGTAATGAAACTAACAGTAGCTGAAAACACACCAGAAACATTTACATTTCCTTAGTTTCTTAGTGCTTTGAATATTTTAAATATAATTAAACATATTTCTTCTACGGGCTCTTCAAATAACAATAGCTTTGGGGATGGAGATGGATCAATGGTTAAGAGCAGTGGCTGCTCTTCCAGAGGACCCTGGTTCAATTCCCAGCACCCACATGGTGCCTCACAACTGTCTGTAATGCCAGTTCCACGAGATATGACACCCTCTTCTGGCCTGTAAGGGCACTACAGAGATGTGGTACATAGCCCTACATTCAGGCAAAACATCCATACACAAAAATACAGAGAGGAGGAAGATGAGGAGGAGGAAGAGGAGGAGGAGGAGGAGGAGGAGGAGGAGGAGAGTTTTTGAGGGCTTAGGAAATAGTTGACTGTGAAATATCTGCTGTGCAGGAGGACCTGAGGTTGATTCCCAGAGCCACACACAAAAGCCAAGTGTGGTAGCACATGTCTAGAATCCCAGCAGTGAGGAGGCAGGGACAGGAAGATCCCTGGTCATCCATCTTAGTCTAATCGTCAAGTTCTGGGTCCAAGGGTGAGATCATCTCTCTCTCTCTCTCTCTCTCTCTCTCTCTCTCTCTCTCTCTCTCTCACACACACACACACACACACACACACACACACACACACACACACACACACAAAGGTGGGCAGCTGTCTTGAGGACACCTGAGATGAACTGACCTCTGGCCTCCACATGCAGCTACTCATGAATGTACACAAATAAGAATAGCTCTGGCACTCACTATCACTGTTCCAACAAATATACCAAAGGGTTAATACCGATAGTGTGTTTAATAGTGTGTCGGGGGGAGATGGGGCTTAGGATTAAACCCAGGGGTTCCTGCGTGCCAGTCAAATATTCTGCTTCTGAGCTACATCTGAGCTACAGCTTAATTCTGTTTCTATTGTGACTTGAGTGAATTTTAACTTTTCATCTGTTCTAATGTATGTGTATGTTTATTCCTTATTATAGGTCTCTGATTACTTTATAGCTAGAATTCATAATCATTTTACTTTCTTCCAGTTTGTAATAGATTAATTTTGTAAATTTCTGGTGCCTAAAGGCTATTGTATTTCAAAATATGTCCAAAGTCTAAGGCAACATTCATATGCACCAAAATGAAGAGAGTTCCTTATGTAAACCAAGTGAAACATTTCCTAAGATTGAGAGTTTAAAATAGTTATGTGAGAGAATATTCTGTCAGTCTCAAGAGCAGATGGATTCGCTTACTCTTCCCTCCCTAAAGTCCTCCTGTTTTCTTAGTCCTGTTATAACATGACCTTATCAAAGCATACAACATGGACAAGGCTTGCTCTAACCCGGCCCTAACCCAAAACAACCATAGCACTGTTAAACCTGGAAACTCCACTCTGGCTCTGGTGCCCTCCACCCTGTTACCTCCATTTCAACACTTGCCCGTACAGACACCAGGCTCTGAGGGAGACATCATCCTGTGCTCTCAGAACTATCACAGTCATTTTCACAGATATTTTTCTCGTTTTGCTAAGAATTCCAGACCAGAGAGGTGGCTCAGTGGGTAAATAGGCATGCCTCCAAGACTTGAATTCTGTCCGCAGGGCTCATGTGGTAGATGGAGGGTACTGACACCCACAAGTCATTCTCTGCCCCACCCCACCCCCCACACATAAATACATGCAATTTTAAAATTTTTTATGAAAAAAAGTCCAGTTTAAAACACACACACACACACACACACACACACACTTTTCATCAGCAGGGGCTTTTCACTACCTAAAGAGAACATTAAGTGATTCCAAGATAAGAGGTATTTGTAGGACAAATCGTCACCACTTCAGTGTCCCTGGAAAAGCCTAACCAAGGGAAGAGAGCCCACATGAACCTAACAAAGGGGTGAGTGACAGCTTAGAGACAGCGAGGAGGCATGGAATCAACCGGGTCAAATTATACCATGTTCCAGTCAAGGGACACAGCGGGGGCGGGGGGGGGAGGGGGGGACGAGCGCTGGCTTGGACCCCATTTCAGAACAGCGTGTGTCACCACCACCACCTCCTCCATCCAGTCAGTTCAGCTAGATGGGGAGGCGGACCGGGCTAACTGCGAGCACTGAGCACTTCTCCCTGGGGAGTATCCATTTGCCTTCCTAGGGGGCTTGTTCCCATGCTGACAAGTGGACAAGACCGACTCAGCAACGCGTTACCATGCCAACGGCGCAGTCCTGTACGTCAGACCTTCTTCAAGGCTCTTCGCCATTTCCTTCTCTGCCATCATTGATTTTCGCCCCGTGTCGTTTCACCTGACAACAAGCATCTCTCCCTTCACGACCTCAGAATTCAGCCCTCATGGACCTCGTCTGACTTGGGCTCTTAGAAGCTAACTAACTTTTGATACCAACTTCACACCTGTGGAAGGAGCTGGGAATGCCCCGCATTTGCCGTCAGCTTCTAGGACCAGAAGTGAGTGTGGTGAGTAAATCTATTCTCTCAGGCATAACTTTAAAAAAAAAAAAAAACCAAGGATGGTGTAATAGCCGTGTTTATTACTGACCTTTAACTCCATTCAGCATGAGCTTTGTAATTACGTATTCAACTGTTTAGGCTCTAAGTGTGAGCTGCCCTGAGGTGCTTTACATTTATGATGAGTCCTTCCATATGACATGTTCTAATGTGTAAGGGGTGGGGGGTATTGCTCAGAGGGACTCAGTGTCCAACCTGGGTGTCAGGGACAGGTGTGGCAAGGACAGAGTCATCCCTGGTATTCTGACTCTACACTGTTGCTTTCCCTAATCTTTCACATTGTAAGAATGCCTGTTCTTGGGGCTGGAGAGATGGTTCAGTGGTTAAGAGCACTGGCTGCTCTTCCAGAGGACCTGGGTTCAATTCCCAGCACCCACATGGCAGCTCACAACTGTCTGTAACTCCAGTTGCAAGGAACCCAACACCCTCACATAGACATACATGCAGGCAAACACCAATGCACATAAAATAAAAAATAAATTGTTACAAAGACTCAAGGAAGGAAGGAAGGAAGGAAGGAAGGAAAAGACTGCCTGTTCTTAAATATCCAATCATCAGGAACCAGCGCTCACTACAGAAGTGTAGAAGCCACAGTGTGGGTATTGCCTCTCTCACACTCCGAGCTCTTCCTCCTCTTAAGAACAAATGTGTTTTAAGGCTCCGTAGACACTCGGAGCAAGATATAAAAAATGCAATTCCATAGAATAATGAACGAATGAAGCACCCAGAAAACAATCTCGGCAACGCTAACGGATCCCCTGGTTAGATTTCATACTTTGTGTTTCTAGTTTGTAACACAAAAGGAAAGGTTTAGGACAAGGACAGAGAGCAACTCAGAGACAGGCACATCACACTTGAGTTACTGCTTCTTCAGTCCTTAAATCCAGCACAGCGCCTGAGACCAAGTCAGTGTCTCAGGATGAGGTTCACGCAAGCCAGGCACAGTAGTGCACACCTGTAATCCCAGCACTCAGAAGGCTGCGGCAGGGGAATTGTGAGTTAAGGGCAGTTAGGACACACAGTGAGACCCTGTGAAACAAAGATAGAGAGAGGAAGCATGGGAGAGGGAGAGGAAGAAAAGAGGGAGAAAAGAAAAAGAGAAGAGGAATTCTGTGCATGTAGCATGCTTACCTGAGTGGCAAGGACAGGAAACGCAAAGCTCCTGGGATTGGCTACCCATCAGCCTCTGTGGCAGCAGGAGGCTTCCTGGGCTCAGTGTGCCCTTGCTAAGGGTGGGACACTGAGCTGTGTGTCCTCTGACTCGATGGACATTTCAGGTTTTCTGTGAGCCTTTGTAGCTATTACACTTTAGGCCTCACACAGTATGAGGGCCACCGTTCTGCTACTTATCGATAACAAAGGACGTGTAATTCTTACTTTTTAGTAAACCTAATTAATATGTTTGAGTATGATGGCATTAAAAAGTTTCCCTATCAGTACATACAATTAGCCAATGAAGAGCCAACTTCAGGGACTTAGGATACAGAAATATATTTAATTATTTTTTATATTTATATTTTATTTTTGTATTTATATTTTATTTATATTTGAGACAGGGTTCTGGCTGTCTTGGAACTCACTCTGTAGACCAGGTTGACCTCAAACTCACAGAGATCTGCCTGCCTCTGCCTCTGGAGTGCTGGGATTAAAGGCATGCACCAATACTACTCATAATTATTTTAAAAAATCATTTCAAAGCTTTGAGTTAATCATCTCTAGCTCTGTATGCAGTAGGCAGTCAGACAACTTCTCAGTGACCAACGCTGAAATGAAAGGTTTCTCGGTGCAAGAGATTGTGGAAAAAAATATGTCATTTCCATAATCAACTCTAGTCCCCCAGGTTCTGCTGTCTCAGAGATGCCTAGTTCCCTAGAAGGCTTCCTAAACATTCAACCCACATGGCTACTTCCCCGTCCAGCTCAGCACAGCATGAGTTCGAACACAGCCACACACTGGGCTGTCAACTGAAATCAACAAACAGCATTTACAGTCATAACCATGCCTGTCTGCCTCACAGAATCTGGAGATTTCTACTGAATAACAGTGGGTGGAATGTGGTCAGCCCGTCAGGAGTAGCCCCCAGACTGAATGTATTCTGACACTAATCAGGAGAGGAGCCATGAGTCTACACTTAATTTTTAAACCTCATCTCATCCTTTTCCGACCCTCCATAGCCACACACAGGGGAAAAATCCTGTTGTCCACGCTACGCATTCTTTTCCCAATTCTTCTGGGCTGTTCTTCCATTTCTGTTTAGAACAGCTAATCTTCCACAAACCTGGACGGAGTGCAAGAAGCCCATTTTGCACATCCCAATCCCACAAACGTAAATAAGGCCTGGATACCATTAACCCTTGAATGACAGCTTTTCCCAGCCACAGATCCAAGGAAGGTTTAGGAAACATATGATATCAGTTCCGCACTCATTCCAAAGAGTTTATTACAGGTTTCACAAAGCTACCAGAAATTTCCACTTATATAAACTCAAGCCAAACATTTTGAAAGGATGAAATGTTTAAGCAACCACTTAAAGTTTTTTCAACATAGACATAAAAAGGCTATACTCCTATGACATGTACCCATCGGAATAAGAGGAACCAAAGCCCCACACTGAAAAAAAAAATAGTTCTCAATGTTCCTGATGGTCACAAGTTTCAAGAACCTTTAAAGCACAGACGTGCAATAGGAAATGGACGACTTGGGGCCAGTTTGATCTTTCAAAGCAAATAAGATGATCTCGAAATCTATTTAGCACCAGCTGTCAGAAAGGAGGAGAGATGAGGTTATGAAAGCCATCCAAATCCTTGTTAGGTGCCACATGTCCGAAGAACAAATGAGAAGTTTAAAGCTGACAGTTCAGAACTTGTACTCGTGGTGCTGAGATGCTAACTACAGCACTAATATTAGGGATGGTTTCCCCAAGAAGCTCTGAGCAGGTTCTGGTGAATGACATCTGCTGTGTTCACAGGCAGATTTCAAAGACCCTTTCCCATCCATCAGTAAATGTTCAATATTCCAGAAGTTTGCCTTTGACCAAAAAAAGCCTGGAGTTAATTATAGACACTGGGGGATCACTGACCAAGCCTGCCTACCCTACCTGAGACTTCAAGATGAATTTGAAGTAGCAGACACGTGAAGCAGAGGCAGACTTCTTTCTTGTGACTGATCTCCTCAACTCTCTACACTCTAAGCATACATCAAACTCAGCATACATCTGAAGCTCCTGGAGAGCCAATGAAAAATCAAATTGCTGGGCCCCATACCCAACACTTCCAGCTTAGCAGTGATCTGGTGTAGGATCCAGAGCCACAATTAACAAGACCAATATTAACAGACCACAATTAACAAGGGACAGTAATGCTGACAAATGCAGACCACACTTTGAGAATCAATGCCCTGTGTCTATCAAAAGGCTGGAGATGGAACACAAGGTTAGGCGTCCTGCAGGGTACCACTCTCTCAACTATAATGATTAGGTGACTGACTACTCTGTAGGATAACAGCTCACTGGTTTCTATTTCTTTTCTAATATAGTGCTTTCATTAATTTGTTGAAAGTTTCATACATGCATATAATGTATTTTGGTCATATCCATCCCCACTTCTGCCCCTCACTCCTCCTGGATCTACCCCCTGAGACTTCTAACTGTATCTTAATTTTATGCTCCCACCCCCAATAACCTACTAAATCCAATTTCTACTGTCCATACAGGCACAGGTGTGGGGTCATCCACTGAAGCACGGTTGATTTACCAGAGGCAACACCCTTAATGAAAACCCAGGAGCCATCAACTGTCAATAGCTTCTCACCCGGGCATGGGGAGGGCTCGTGGGCCCTTCCCTTCCTCATGCTGTAATGTTGACTAGTTTGATCTTGAGTCTTGTACAGGCAATCACTGAAACGTGTTGTCATGTCCAGAACTTACTGTTATACTCTAATCTTCCCTGGCTTCTAGTTCTTATGGTCATTTTTATCACTTCTGTGACGATCCCTAAGTCTTGCAGGGGAAGGATATGCTATAAATGTCCCACTTATGGCCAAGCACTCCACAGACATTTATCCTCCCCACTTTGACTGGTTGTAAGCTTTGGTGTTAACTGCCACTCACTGTACAAAGAAGCTTCTCTGATGAGGACAGAGAACTGCACTGACCTATGAACAGAGAGGTGTGCGTTTAGATAGCAGTTTGATACTATGTCCAGTTAGGAAAATAATAAAAAATAAATTCTCCCTGAGCTTCCCGGCCATGGGTTCTTGACCAGATTTACTCTCTTATGTGTGTGGAGCCTAAATCCAATCAGAAAGTGGATGGTTACTTCCATAATATTTCTGCCATTATTGCACTTATTAGCATATCTTGCCATGTAGGTCATTACCGTAGCTCACAAATTCAAAAAATATTGATGATTTTCCTTCCAGCAGCCTACATACTACCTTCCCATACTAGGAAAACTAGCCAACATGGAGGGAAGTTCTTGATCAATACCAGCCTGATGTTTCCATGTTCTATGACTCAATTGTGTGGTGTCTTCAGCAATAGGGTCTTACCATAAAGTTCTGATGGGCCACCAAGAACCATAGCCAGAGCCTGTGTTGTTTTGGGGTGTCTTTGGGACTCTCTTGACCAAAAACTCGAAGGGAAGAGGTTTCCCATACCTTGCACTGGGCTTTTTGTTCAGCAGTCTATAGTCTCCAGGTGGGGTATTAACCCATGTTAACTCCAATTGAGAGGAGGGAGGGAGGGGGGGAAGGAGGGAGAGAGGGAGAGAGGCTTATAAAGTAGTTGGTTTCCATATTTTTTTCAAACATCCTCTCCCAATCTCCTCTTCTGTCTTACCAGTCAATTTATTGCAAAAATCTTTTTTAGCATGTTTTGAGAAGAGCACAGTGTGTGAAGACCAGAAGGTATTTTTGAGAGTCTGTTCTTTCTTTCTACCACGCGGGTTCCGGGATTGAACTCAGGTCGTCAGGCTGGACAGCAGACGCCTTTACCCACTGAGCCATCTGGCTTGCTCGCTTGTTTCTATTTTTAAGAGTAAGAAAGCTGGACTGGAGAGATGGCTCAGAGGTTAAGAGCACTGACTGCTCTCCCAGAGGTCCTAAGTTCAATTCCCAGCAACCACACGGTGGCTCACAACCATCTGTAATGAGATCTGGCACCCTCTTCTGTACATAATAAATAAAGAAATCTTAAAAAAAAAAAAAAAAAAGAGTAAGAAAGCTGTTGGGTGGTGGTGGCACATGTCTTTAATCCCAGCACTTAGGAGGCAGAGCCAGGGAGATCTCTGTGAGTTCGAGGCCAGCCTGGTCTACAGAGCAAGATCTAGGACAGGCACCAAAACTACACAGAGAAACCCTGTCTTGAACCCCACCTCACCCCCCGCCGAAGAAAAGAGACTAAGAAAGCTGACAAACTGAGTCAAGAGATGTTCAGATTAAAACTGGGAGGGTTGTTAAGTATTGAGATGGGGTAGGCAGTAAAGTCCTCTCGTCAGAAGAATAATACTGGAGACAATTTACAGTTCAGTATTATGACTCACCCTGGACAGAAAGTTTAATGAATCCACTTTCATCCCGGTGAGATGAATTGTAATAGTTCTTGCCTCCTCACTATGCTACATGAACTAGCCACTATAACATGGAACTTTAATTCTAACCTTTGCTTTCTTTAAAAAAAAAATTAGCAATCCCATTTCAGCTCATAGAAGATAAACTAATTTTAGGCTTAAGTGGAAAGCATTAATTTCACTGGGATATAAAACACTGAATGTCGGCCAAGCCAAGAAGGGAAAGAACCAAGGAAAGACAACAACAGAAGTCTCTGTTGACTACTTCACTGGGCTTCGGCAGCTTAAGTCACTTGGTTTCCTAGTTGTCTAGACAAATAGGTGGAATGTGGTCCTTACAATCACAGAAAACATCACAAGCTAAAAGAACACAGTCTTACCACAGAAGCCTGACTTTTTTAAGTCAAAGATCCCTGTAAGGGAATGAAAGAAGTCACAGTCCACATACTTACAGGACAAGAATCTTAAAGGGTCACCAAGCTGTTTGCATGAAGCAATTAGCTGTCTAGAAGTCCTGGGAACAGGACATGAGAGTTTAACGTATAGCTTTCCCACTCACCCTAAGAAGTGATCAACAAAGAAAACAGCCTTACCAAGTTGGGTTGGATTACAATACATGTCAATCTCCTTTGAGGACCTGGATCTCTGAAACAAGAGGTCCAGGTGCTGGAAACCCAAGGGCAGCACTCACCCTGGGAGGGTGTTTCCAACTGGTCAACTTAATGTGTTGAGTATGCTCTGTGGAAACGTTTGGTGCTAATCTCCTAAACCACATTGTTGACCCGTGTCTCAGAATGCAGCAATGTTTGTGTGTGAAAGGGTACATTCTTTCCAAGGGGACCCTTCACACTTGAGCAGTAATGAGACCAAATGTGACTGGAGTCCTGTGTCAGTCCAACCAGAGATAAGCAGACTCCAATGCGCCTTCTGTGCTGACCTCGCTCAGCCTCACTAGTATACTTTACACGCTGTATTTTTCAGATTTTAATGGCCTTCTGACTTCTGTGCTAGAATAATTTATGGTCTCACTGACCCTCAACTTGCTCTTCATGGGGTTTTATTTTGCCTTACATGGTCCTACAAAGGCCCTTAGAAAACCACAAAGCTCTTGAACCAGATAGACTGTTTTCTGCCATCATTACAAAACACACGCTCACTGATTCCTGCTCATTTCTGTTATGTGAGACCCCCACAAAACTCTAACAACACTAGACGTGGTTCCCTTCCTCTGCCTCCCAGGCAGCGATGCAGTTAATATTCCATCCTCCACCACTCGAACAAGAGAGCAGAGCGAGCTTGCTTCTTTTCTTCTTCCTCTTCCTCTTCTTCTTCTGAGGCAGGGTTTCCCTGTGTAGTTTTGGTGCCTGTTCTGGATCTTGCTCTGTAGACCAGGCTGGCCTTGAACTCACAGAGATCTGCCTGGCTCTGCCTCCCGAGTGCTGGGATTAAAGTTGTGCGCCACCACTGCCGCCACCGCCACCACCACCACCTGGCACAAGCTTGCTTCTTTAGGTGAGCACAACAGGGTAGCAGGAATGGCAGCTTTCCAGTGTCTCAAGTTAAAAGGATACACATTTCAGTCTACTTTTAAAAATGTCTGTGAGCAGGACCATCATTGGGTGCATACTGGATAGACATGGATCACTTCACAATACCTATATATCAGTGTGTGGCTTTGTAATACAAGATAGCATTTATGAACTCCACATTGTATAAAGCATTGACAATGAACTCAGTAGTTACTCTAGGCTCTACTAAAAGGATGGCAGATGAAATGTAAGCTTTTACATGGGAAGGATCCTAGGTGAGATTGCTTATCCTTCTTGCTGCTATTTCTTAGAAGATTATAGGCAAGGGAAGTTTTCACCTGCTCAAACATAGTATATTCATAGGGTTAGACCTGGAACAGTGCTTAGAATTTAATAATAACTAGCATTCTGGAAAAGATTTCTTTTAATCACCCTGCCATAGCTTGGCAATGAGTTTACAAGCACTATACTGAAGTGGGGAAAGGTGGAAGGTAGGGGGCATTTCTGTCTGTATTTCTTGCACTCACAACTATGACTAACACAGAAACACTAGGTATGCAGGACTGTAGCTCAGAGGAAGAGAGGTGTACCCTGGGTTCAATCCCTAGCATCACATACACACACACACACACACACACACACACACACACACACACACACACACACACACACCTGAAGTCATTAGATGTTCACTGAACAAATGGATTTTCTAACTGTAAAGGAAGGAGGAGGAGCCTTCTAGTATTACTCATGTGTCTGTGTTCTGAACTCTTATCTCCATTAAAGTCCAGGCTTCAGATGAAATTAATCACTTAGATAAAGGACTTTGGTAACAGGTTCTGGTAATCAACAGGGATCCCTGAAAACTCTTGACAGTCACTAAACCAAACAATAAAGGGGTGGGGGAGGGAAAGAGAAAGGGAATGTTGAGGCCAGGTCATGGGAAAATACGCATTCAAAGGTAGAATGCTCTCTACAGGCTGTGTGTTTGAACACTTTTAGGAAGCTGTGAACCTTTTGGGCAGGAGGTACGGCTGATGAGTTGGGTTCCTGGGGCCAGCCCTTTGGATGGTTATGTTAGAGCATGGCCCCATTTCCATGTGCGCTCTCTGTGCCCTCAGCTCCCCCACAAACTGAGCTCCTCCAGTCCCCATGCCACTATGGACTGCACTCTCCAGAAACATGAGCCGCAGTAAGCCTCACCTCCTCTAAACTGCTAAATGAAAAAGTTAACCAACACGGTGACAAATAGCGGCACTTTCTCTCCCTCCCTCCCTTCCTTTATTCCTCCCTTCTTTTCTCTTTTTAAATCTAAGTGGCAAGAATGTAACGCCTCCATCAGATTGCCCCAGAGGCAAGCCTGTGGGAGTATTTTCTCTTTCTTCCTTTCTTTTTTTCCTTCTTTCCTTTCTTCCTTTCTTTTTTCTTTTCTTTCTTTTTTTGTTTTTGTTTTATTAAGAATTTTTTTTCATTCATTTTACACACCAATCAAAGATCACCCTTTTCCCTCCTCCCACGCACCCCCAGCCTCCCCCTCCCAACCCACCACCCATTCCCACCCACAAAAAGGGAAGGCCTCCCATGGGGAGGCACATCCAGTAGAGGCAAGTCCAAACCCTCCTCCTGCCTCAAGGCTGCACGAGGCATCCCATCATAAGTAGTGGGCTCCAAAAAGCCCACTCATGCATCAGAGATGGATTCTGATCCTGCTGCCAGGGGGCCCCCAAGCAGATCAAGCTACACAACTGTCTTGCCATGCAAAGGGCCTAGTCCAGTCCCATGTAGGCTCCACAGCTATTGATCCAACTTTCATGAGTTCCCTCTAGTTTGGTTTGGTCATCCCTGCATGTTTCCCCTTCGTGATCCTGATACACTTGCTCATAGAATCCCTCTTCTCTCTCTTTGACTGGACTCCTGGAGCTCTGCCTGGTGATTGGCTGTAGATCTCTGCATTTACTTCCATCAGTCACTGGAGAAAAGCTCTGTGATGACAGGGTATTCACCGGTCTGATCGCTGGGGTGAGATCAGTTCAGGCACCCTCTATTGCTAGTAGTCCAGGCTGGGGTTATCCATGGGGATTCCTGGCAACTTCCCTAGCACTGGGTTTCTCTCTATCCCCATGATGTCTCCCTTTATCA